AAAAAAACTATGGGTCCTTTAATCATATCTACATAACAAGACCAAACCATTACTGAAACCCTCCCACTCTTAAAATTCAGTTGCAAACACTCATGTTTGTATTGTTTATCCACACACCACCATACTCGAACTTGGCGAGATTGTTTACCAACTTCCACACTCATTTTATCAGAAAAAATAATACACCTTCAATAATAAGCGTCCTTGTCTTTATGTTGGTTGCACCAATCTTTCCGTCTGTTTATATTGCTTGGTGTCAAGAAAGGTTTTAAGGCAGCAACATGGGAATGAAGCCCAGCATCGTGTAAGGTTCTAGCTACGGTTTGCACACTGCATTGAAGGTTTAAATCCTTCACAATTTTGAGTAGGGGCACACGTCTTTCCTTCAACGCTTTTTTTACTATGGTGGTCTTTTCTTGCTTCTTTAGGGCAGGGGGACGTCCGGACCAAGGTAAATTTGCTATTTTTTTGGTCCTCTTGTACTTCGCTAAGAACCTTCGAATTGTTGTAGGGGCACGTTTTAGCTTTTTGGCAACTTGCTCAGCACTCATTGTGCTGATATAAGCAAGGACCATCCCTTTCTCTTTATCATCCATTTGTTTGCGTGGTATTTTCATTAAAAAAAAAATTATCTACATCTTTGAGCTTGTTGTTTAAACGTAGAAGAAGCAAAAAATAAAAAAAATTGCCCCAAATTACGTATGTATGGGGTAAACATAGCCCCTTTATTTGCTCATGTGAGATGATCTGCAAATCGGGCGTTACTTTTGTTGGCTACTGTACGTACGTACGTACGTACGTGCGTAATCTTGAACTTTAATATCTACTGTATCGGTATCACTTGCTAATAATATATTTAGATATATAGTTAAATATGCATCAACAATTTATAAATGTGCTTTTTTAAAACAATATCAAATTGAATTTTTTCCTAATAATTCATTTGAAGAGTTTAAAATTTATAACTCAACGTTTCCTAGTGATAGTTATAAAGCATTATCGGTAAAGTATAATAAGCTTTTATTTCTAAATAAAATTACCTTTTCTCAAAAATATACATTAGAAAATTTTACAAATGATGTAAGTTTTTATGTTTTAATTATTATATAATTTAATTATTGTAGTATTTTATTTATTATTAATGTGCTTTAATATTTAGCTAAAACGGTATCAAAAAGTAGAATTACATGAAAACATTTTAAAATTCATAGCTATTTTTAAGCAAAGCATAAATGAAGTTATATTTGTTCACGAATATGCGCTTGATGGAACTCTTCGTCAATATTTAAAACAAAACATCAGTAAAATTAATTGGAATGATAAGTTACATCTTGCAAAACAGCTTAGTAGTGCTATAAAATATTTTCATGAAAATAACATAGTTCATACGAACTTGGTACGTTTTATTTAAATTATTTATTTTTTACTAAACAACAATATGATAATAAATTATTATTTTATAATTATTTAGAATTCTGAAAAAATATACGTTCACAAAGGAGATATTAAAGTAACTTTTCAATATCAGAATCAGATTTTAGATATATTTAAATATATACAATATATCGATCCTCAATATTTACAAAATCTCAATACTTATAAACTTTATAAAAGCTCAGATATATATAGCATTGGAGTGCTACTTTGGGAAATTTCGAGTGGAACAATTCCATTTAATATAGAAGCTCCTTACAATTATTATTTATTAAATGCAATTATTCAAGGAAAACGCGAAATTGCGGTTTCAGGAACTCCAAAAAATTATATTAAAATCTATACTGGTAAATTAAATTGTAAATTTGATTATATATATATTATTCTAGTACGTAACATAAACAATCCATAATTAAGAATTTTTATATTCTTTACTTTAGAATGCTGGCAACATGACCCAAATCAACGCCCAACAATTCAGCATATTTTCAAAAATCTAAACAATATTAATTACGAAAAAGAATTTTTTTTTAGAACTTTTGCGAAGGATGAAAATAAAGAACAACTCATATCAGAAAAGAAAAACTTAAGTGAAAATGATTTATTATTTCATTATATTAATTTATATTATGAAGCAAACAAGGAATTAGATCTAATTTCGTCAGTTATTACAACTTTAATTAAAGACATTATTAAAAATAACTTGTTTAAAAATCCTACAGTAACAAATTCATTTTATCAAGTTAATACAAGCAGTTATGATAATATCAAGAGTGATCAAAATTTTCTTTATAATTTAAACCAATTATTTATAGCTCAATTCAATATACAAGGTGCCAAAATACAATGTGTTTCAGAATATACAGTAAACTCTATAATACAATGCATTAAGAAATATATGGATAATAATAACAAAAATCCAGATGAAATCCTAAGACAATATTATAATTACCAGTGTAGATATTACTTTACAAGCATAATTGGTTTCTTTTATGAATGTGGAATTGGAACAATTATTAATTATGATAAAGCATTTAATATGTATAAACGAGCTTCAAAAGATATTTATTTTCCCAATATCGATTCATTTTTATTAAAAGAAAATCAAAACATTGGTTTGATTTCGCTAGGCTTGCTTTATATAAATGGAAAAGGAGTTATGATAAATCAGCCAAAAGCTTTGCAATTATTTTTAAAAACTGTTTCAAAAGGTTCTTGTTTAGGAAAATTTTATATTGGCGAATGTTATAACTATGGTTATGGCATAGTTAAAGATAGTAAAAATTCTTTTAATTGATACTTAAAATCTGCTGAAGAAGGAAATGCAAGAGCAAAAAATATGCTAGGACTTTGTTACGATTTTGGTATAGGTATTTCTAAAAATTATAATGAGGCTTTAAAATGGTACACAATATCTGCCAACAATGGGAGCTATTTAGCACATAATAGTTTAAGTTATAAATATGAAAATGGTTTAGGAACTTCCATCGATGTAAATAAAGCTTTTGAGCATTATGTAATATCTGCGAATGAGGGATGTACATTAGGTCAAATTAATCTTGGTCGGTGTTATCAGTGTGGCATAGGCACTACTAAGAATTTTAAGAAAGCACTAGAATGGTATTTGAAATCTGCAGAAGGAGATAATAGCTTAGGACAATACAGTCTTGGCAAATGTTATGAACTAGGTACTAATATGAATAAAGCATTTGAATGTTATTTGAAATCTGCTGAAAAGGGGATAGTTCCGGTCAAGATAGTCTTGGTAAATGTTATGAAAATGGTTATGGTACTTTTATTGATAAACAGAAATCCTTTGAGTCGTATTGTAAATCTGCAGCAGGAGGGAATAAATCCGGAAAACATAATCTAACTAGATGCTATAAATTCGGAATAGAAACTTCCAAAGATATAACAAAAGCTAAAGAAATTATAAGTGACATATCTTCATCTTAATTTTATTGTGGAAATATTTTTAGTAAATAAAATAAGACATAAATTCTACTTAGAATCTACCTGTTTAATTTAAATAAATTTTAAATTTAAAAATTAAAAATAATTTTAAATAGAACGAACTGTTGTATTTATCCAAATAAACAAATACAAGCTACTATTTAGCTTTTAATAACAATTAAAGAACTTAATTTAAATATTGTGCTACGTAGTAAGAATGGATAATATGTAGCAAATTTTTAATGTGACTAATTCGTAATATATATAATATTTATTCTAGCCAGATTACTATGTAAAAAATTTTATTACATAAGTAATAAATAGGGATCGATGATTTATTTTTTCTCATATTCGTAAAGTAGAAGTAAGGAGTAATGGTAATAGTGTGTTGAATATTATGATGTGTTGCATATAATTCTTAAAGTGTGTAAATGCTATGACTTTATGCATCACTAAATGTTCAGTCTTCGATCATGCATGTATTAAATTATATTATGTTTCTAATAGCATATCAATTTCGAACACCATATGAATACCGCCAAGTGAAAACATAACATCGGGCTTTCAATTATAATTTACACCGGACACAGTCTATTTAATCTATTATAATTGAAAGCTCGATGACAGGTTGTCCCTTGATGGCGTTCATATAATCTCTGCTATAATGTATTACTTGGACAAACCACCAGATAAAGCATATAAAAGATAGCGGGACAATGGAAAAGGTTAAAAATTATTTAATTTTAAACTTTTTGATATTTTGTAAAGAAACTAAAGTTGTCAA